GCATTTGTGAAGAGTAACCCAACTTTCTAAGAACACTTCTGTTTTTAAAATCTTAAGTATGTTACATCTGCTAACTACCTTCTAATAACTTGCTTAGAAAAATAACTTGCCTGAAAACAAAAGATCCCTACTAAACTAAAAAAGCTACATATGTAACCTAAGAAAAACACTGCCAAAGTATTCCTTTTGTCTCATCTTCTTAACTCTCTATTGTCTGGCTTCTGACTTTACTATTCCACTGCACTCTCCAAAATAACTAACAATCTCCTCACTATCAAATCTAATGGCCTTTTTGAAATCCTCATCATTCTTGACCCCTCTGGCATTACCATCTCCGTATAGATACTGCCTTGTCTCTAGGTTTTCTTGACACTACTCTCCTAGTTCTCCTCCTACCTGTCTGCACCTTCTCAGTCTCCTTCACTGGACCTTCATCCAGCCCACTCCTACTAACCAGGGGTGCACCACAGGGCTCTGCCCTGGGCTTCTTCTCTATTCCTATAATATTCCACTTGGTAATCTCATTAGCTCCACGGACTAAATTATCTTCTTTACGCTGATGATTTTCACATCTATGTACTTATCGAGCCCTAATGTCTCTAGTGACATCTAGTCTCACATCTACCATTGCCTACTGGACATCTTAAACTGGATGTCCTTCAAACAAATTAAACTCAATGTGTCCAAAAGAGAACTATTATGTTAGGACAGCTAGGTGGTACAGTGGATTGTGCACTGAGCCTGAACTCTGGAAGACCTAGAGTTCAAATTCAGCCTCACACACTTAATAACTATGTGATCCTGGGCAAGTCACTTAACCTCTGTCTGCCTCAGTCGCTTCAACTGTAAGATACGGATAATAATAGAACCTACCCCATAGGGTTTTTTTTGAGAATCAAATGAGTTAATATTCTAAAGCACTTAGCACAGTGCTTGACACATAGTACGTGCTTACCGTCTGCTTATTCTCTCCTCTCTCTCTCCCTGTTCCCCTAATTCTTCTCCTTTTCCTAACCTGACTATTACTATTGAAGATACCAGCATCCTCCCAGTCACCTGGGCTTGCAATCTAGGTGTCATCCTTGACTCCTCACTTACTCTCAATCCCTACCCACCCAATATCTAATCTGTTGCCAAGGCCTATTTGTATTACCAACTTCAACTCCTGGCATTTTCACTGGCTGTCTCCCATAACTGGAATGCTCTCTCTTCTCATCTCTACCTCCCGGCTTCCTTCAAGTCCCAGCTGAAATCTCACCTTCTATAGGGAGTCTTTTCTGATTTCTCTTAATTCTAATGCCTTCTTTCTGGAAATTATTTCCATTTTATCCTGTATATAGTTTGTTTGCACAGAATTGTTTGCATGATGTCTCTCCCCTTAGACTGTGAACTTCTTGAGATCAGAGATCTTTTGCCTTTCTCTAGTGCTTGGCACAGTGCCTGGCATATAGTAAGTGATTAATAAATGTTTACTGAATGATTGAGATATCTTCAACACTTTAATTACGGAAACAAGACAAATCAAGCTCTTCAAAATATTTTCAGCTGGAATTAGAAAAATCTTACTTGTATAAAAGCTCTGTGCAGAAACTGCTCTCTCCATGGCATCCTTTTAAAATGTCTCACTTTTGCTTCATTTTTAGTTTAGCATTTTAAACTTCAACAAATGATAAATACATTGGCATAGTGGTATATTTATGTGTGACATGTTAGGCCACTTTGAATAAATGTTCTTGGAATGATAAATACATTGGCGTAGTGGTATATTTATGTGTGACATGTTAGGCCACTTTGAATAAATGTTCTTGGAAAGGGGGAAACCATGTTATATTCTATACAACTCTACAAAATTCTATACAATATCTAGCCAATTGTGCAGGCTGACAGTTACACATATCTATATCATTTTAAATAGTTTCTAATAATAGTAAAACATATTAAAACATCTTATGCTACTTCATGTGAATTTTTATTTATTCATGTATTTGAGTATCTCCACATTTGTACAAAGTACTCTGCTGGTCCCTGTAGAAAATTCTAAAGATAAATTGTTGAAACTGTTTTTACCCTCAAGAATCTTACAATCTTATTAAAATATAATTTCGATCAGTCAATAATATTGCTTCTATGGCTAAAGTGAAAATAAGAAAAAAACACAAAGACACTAGCAAAGTAATTCAACACAGAATCATAAACCCTTGTATAATCAGAAGGGTTCTTCAAGATAACCCAGACAACCTGCCCACTTTATAAATAGAAACTAGGAAGAACATAAACCATTATTTTCCACCTAAGGAAAACACACAAAAATATGTTTTGTTTTGTTTCGTTTACCATTCTTTATAGCTTTTTTTTGTTAGGGGGGACAATACCGCCCCAAACAGAAATCTAGATAGAGTCTTATTAGGATACACATAGAACAGGGGTATAACAGGATAAACCAAAATACACTATTTCAAGGTATAAGGGTCATGATAGTCCTTTGGCCAGACAATTCAGAAAACAAACCTCAAATACTTTAGTATTATAAAATTTATTCTAGATGCTAGAATCTTAATAAAAATAGCTTTTAATGAGAAAAATTATTTAAGAGCTATTCATGGCCCAGAATGAAACACACTCTACATGCCAAGTAAGCATGCTCAATCAGTTGAAAGAAACTTGAATGTTTCAGAACACTAAAAAGTGAGATAATATCATGCCTCTCTTAGAGATGGGCAAAAAGACCACCAGTGACTTAGATCAGACTGAGAAATTACAGGAGTCAACTTTGGGTTTCTGAAGTTTTGTTTTTTTTCTTCCTATCTGCTAACACAAAATAACCTATACATATTAATTATATAAATGAACATTTTTCACAGAATAACTCTAAGTTAGCTAAGAGAGGCCAAAATGCTTCATATTATACCTATACTAAAAGAAGACCCAAATCACTTAATAGGTACAACTACCGAACTATTAACCAATGATTCTATTCTTTTGTGGCAAGGGTTAATGTAAACTAGTACAGCAAAGGCAGTTATGTAGCAAGAAAAAGCAAAAACATAAAGGAAAAAAGTTGATTATTATAGCTCTACTGAGGTCCTTTATTACATTTAGTCCAAACTCCTCTGCTTGCCTTTCAAGGCCTTCCATAATACTGTCCTACCTTACTTAGGCAGACTAGAAAAAATGGTATTTATGGAGTGATAGGAAGCAGACATATCTACTCATTGTCTCTTGAATACATCTTATGTATTATTGTCATTCTGTTCACTTCATTCTTCATTTATGATACTTTCTCTTTTCACATCTGCTTATACATAAATCTTATCTTTCAAGGTCAAGATCTCATTGAAGTCTTGTCTAGCTACTAGACACTATGATGATCTCTCCCTTTTCTCAATTCCTATTACACACTTATGAATACTATACAGATCATCACAATTTTTCAGGTTTGTTTCAGTCCCTCAAATAACTGTCATTTCTACCCCAAAGAAGATTACAATCAATAACAATAACTAAGTTCTTAGTATTTTCCTCACAATCTTGTGACGTAGATATACTAAATATTATTATTGTCATTTGGCACATGAAGAAACAAAAACACAGGTTAAGTGACTTGGTCAGGGTCCCAGAGTTTATGACTCAAAGACAACCACACCATGCTGCTATATTTTATATTCCCAACAAATCTTAGTAGAATGATGGCTAAACAGTAGGAGATCAATAAAATTTGTTGATTTTTTTTAGTTTTCCTTATATACCACATGTGTGGAAATATAATTTTAAAAAATTATATGGGACCAACTACTGCAATAATCAAATTAAAAGAGAAATGTGTACTACACAGAAGGCATTACTGGGTACAGTCCCATTCCGGTCAGTTAATCTTTTAAAATAACATAGCTACAGACTGTACCTTCCACTCCCAGTTACTTATCCTGTATCTTTTATTGGTTATTAGGAGAACTGCACAAGAGTATTTGAAATGATCATCATATATTGCTTCTAAAAAAAATAATAAATTGATGTACATGTCCTAGCAATGGCATGTCAGCAGCAACACACTCATCTTCAGCACTTAATAGCACACTGTTGTCATTACAATGTGGAAAATCTTAAAAACTCTGAGAGAAATCATGTAGAAAAGTAATATCTCATGTGAGAAATCCAAGGGACAAAAGTCCTCATGTGAAAGCAACTCTAGAACCCAACTAAAAAACACTATTAAGAACATGAAAACTTTAGAACTCAAAGGCAAGAGTTTAAAATGTTCCAAGTGATTTTCCATAACCTATAACTGAATCTGTTAAGGACAGCAGTATTGGACCAAGACCTAGTGAGATATCAAACTTAGAGGAGTGTAAAATATTCTCCTATAAGGAAAATCTTGGAACACTAAATGTTTATACACCTTGACCAGATCAATTTTTCCCTTGTAGACTGTAAATTTTTGCACATACATAAGGTATCTGTGGAACACTAATACTCAGAAGTTCACAAAACATGAAGTACTTTATTAATATGCAGTAGAAGTTTGATATGTTTGTATATGTCAAAGTAAATGATCTACCCAAAGTTGTTGACAAGCAGCTCTATCCCCTCATGCTCTCACTAATTACCATCATTAAACATTTTAGCACAAGTTTTTAAGAAAGTAAAATCAGCACCTGTACTTTGATGTTCAATAGTACCATAATTCCAGAATCTTTTACCTTTTTACATAAAGCAAACCCAAACCCAGCAAGACAGCTGTACAAAAACTAAAAACTACCCATTGTGCAAGAAAATTGTTCAAAATAATAATTAAGATTATAATACTCCACCATCCTTATAAAGCTCAATGTTACAAGGCAAAGCATCCAATTAAACCTTTCAAGACTTTTAAAAATAACAAATATTTCCATAGAAATTCTCAGGAAATCTGGTTCTAGTAGTTGACTATTCCCTCCCTCCTCACCCAAGAACCTGAAGACATGAGTCATGTGCAAATTCATAGAGGCTTCAAATGAACCTACCTGCTATAGGGATCCCTCCCAGACCTGTGCTGTGTTGTGGTGGGAGATTCAAGTCCAAGAAATTACTATTTGAGGTGGGGTTTGCTGTGTGGTTCAAGTGCATGATGCTATTTCGTGGAAAGGCCATCCAAGGATAGCGGGCTGCCTGGCCTGGAAAACTGAATGAATTATAAACCGCCCGATGTTGCTGAAACTGAGGGAACCTCTGTGGCAAGACTGAAAAGGTGCTACTGAGAGAGTTGGCATTTGTGGGTGCGGCAGGATGCAAAAATCCAGGGCCTGGCCCTTTGGCGGTTGTAGTGTGTGAGGAAGGGTTCTGAAGAGATGTGGGCGAAAGGGCAGGTTGATCTTGGACCGACAGTTCCTTCTCAATCAGGTCTGCTAAGGCTTTGCGAGTGATGTCAAAGGGGTCAAACCCCAAGTCATCCTCTTGCTGTTTAGAGGAACCAAAGCCAAACGCTGCTTGCCAGTCTGTAGAGGATGACACTGGGATTGTTTCTGTCAGGAGGGAAAAATTATGGTTAATAATATAACATACATAAATCCATACTTTAATTTCCTCTGGAGTAGTAAGTATGTGGGCCTATGAAAGAAACTTGTCACATATAATGTTGCTGCTGATTAGTCATGTTCGACTCTTCGTGAACCCATTTGGGGTTTTCTTGGCAAAGATACTGGAGTGGTTTTGCCATTTCCTTCACCAGCTCATTTTACAGATGAGGAAACTGAGGCAAACAAGTTTGAATGACTTGCTTAGGGTCACACATTAAGTATCTAAGGCCAGTTTTGAAATCACAAAGCTGAGTCTTCCTGACTCTAGGCCCAGCACTCTATCCACTTGACCACCTAGCTGCCCAAATATAATATACCAAGAGATAAAAACTAGATATTCTGATATCATGTGCTTATATGAGAACTTCACTCACATGTAGACACTTGATGTTTTTAATACTTAATTCAATAATGAAACTATAACAAATGGATAATTTTGTTGTAGAACTGAGTAAAGAAAAAGCATTCACATCTTAATCACTGCCCTTTAAAATCAAAACTCAGAATGGGCTACTGAAATGAACTCAGAGTGAATAATCACTATTTCCCTTCCCTTTTCCCTCCCCTCCCCTCCCTCTAAATTCAGAAAGTAAGAATTAAATGAAGTTAATAGTTGGTGAAGACAATAGGGTGAAAATAATTTTGATACATGGTATATACAATGCAAGGGATACAGGTACATAATTTAATAATCGTGATATCAGTTTATATTACTCTCTATACTTAAATGGTATGCCCTATGGATCTTCATGAATGCTATTGATATTTTATTTTATGCAATCTTTCCGAAGTGAATATAAAAATCAGTATTACTGGAGAATACTATATTTAATGTTTAGTCCTAAACCATTTATCTCTGTGCTACTGAAAAAAAGCTCAACACTGTAGAAATTGAATTTTGATTTTAAAATAGGTGTTTGGCGTACTTTAACAGTTTTTTGGGTTTAAAGTCTTTTAAAATCTTTGAAGACAAACTAAAATTTCTAGTTAAAAAAAGGCGGGGAGAAGGATCAAGTCTATGTACTTAAGAGTTTCATGATGCTACAATGTTGGGAGACTCAAGCATTCATACCTGATGTGAAGAGGCTCTGTGGTTCTGGTGCTGTTGGCCAATCATTAGAAGTCTGTGGGGAGCTGGGAAAAGGGGGTAGCCCGCTAGGAATAGGGTTAGGGTGCCGGAAGTTGTCCGAGAATAGTGACTGTGACTCTGTTACTGCCCCTTCAAAAGGAGACCTTGCACTGTGATTAGATGAACTGATGGGGATGACTGGATTAGGCTTTGATAAACCAGGAGGTGGTGATGGCGTATCACTGTTGGATATCTAAACAGGGGGAAAAAAAAGGAAGAAAAGTGAATCCTTTAACTCACAGATACCAGATGTAAGAGTAAATTGGGGGAGGAAGGTAAATAGAATTTTATATACCACATACTATGTACCAGGTACTGTGGTAAGCACTTTACAAATATTATATTACGTGATTCTCACAACAACTCTGTGGTGGTAAGCACTGTTATTTATGCTCAAAAGATGAGGAAACTGGGACAGAGATTAAGTGACTTGCCTAGGGTCACACTGCTAGGAAATGACTGGGGCTGGATGTGAATTCAGGTCTTCTTGACTCCAGGCCCACTGACCCATCCACTGAGTCACCAAGCTGCCTATGCCTAATCATGTTTCATGTGAACATATATTGAAAAACAGCCACTGTCAATCATTTCAAATAAGTGATTACTTACAAATTATTAACCTAATATAAAATATTAGGTAGATAGCAGACAGACAGATAGAATGCCTCAACACAGAAGTCACATTAAAACATATCTAGAACACTGGCAAAAAAAAAAAAAAAAAAAGACCCCAAAAATGCCTCTAAGCAGTCAAAACAGATGTCAAAAAAATCCACACTCATGAACTTTACACAGTGAAGAGACCCTCAAGAAATAAATCAAATTTAAAACTGGGCACAATTCTAACAAGAGGGCTTTGCCACTCCCCCCCCAACTTATAGCAATTCGGAAAGAGCCAATTAGCAAGTGGCAGAGAATTTGTTAGAGGCTCACGCATTATCAGAAAGGGAAACACTTAAAAAAAAAAAAAAAGACAATAACTCAAATAACTAGAGCCTTATATACCTCAATAGTCCCTGAGGACATGACAGTGTCAAAGCATAATATAATAACGCATGTTTTTAAAAGATGGCATTGATTCATCAAGAAGAGCTTCAATTATATGCTATATTTTGTTTTAAGAAGGCCAAGTAAATATATAATACATTTTAAAAATAATTTTATAAAAAAGTTAAGTAAACTTTTAGGGCTACAAGTGAAAAGATTCAATCACATGAAAACTGATTTATGTAGAATATACCTCATTCCTCAATGTTGTCAGAAAAAGGAGATATTACTCGACCAAAATCTTACCTGTTGGGAATTGTCACCATTCCCTATACTGAGGGAATCTGAAGGTTTGTCAATAGGGCTGTAGGAACATAAAGCAAAAAAGTCAAGTAAACTCATGCCCCCAACAAAATGCACAGAGAACAACCTATTACATAATGATAATCAAATACTTACTCAACACCTACTATGCGCAAGGAATTGTGCTAGGATTTGAGGAACTCAAAAAGATATAAAATAGGGGACTGGCTCTGACAGAGCTTACAATCTAAACAGAAAAATTCAAACTGTTCAAAGTAAACAATTAGACAAACCTCCCTGTATTATACCTTTCATGTATAAGTTTTATTAGATGGCCATTTTTAAGATTATCAAAATCAGTGATAACAAAAACGAAATTAGAAAGATAATACTGCTTAAATCAGATGCTAGTCTGATTTGTTCACCTAGAGCAAAATCTACCAGGTGAGTTTTATTTGTATAGATAAAAAGCATGCTGCATTATGGTATCCCAAAGCAGTAACTTCTCAGTTTTTAAAGATAATTAATAAAAATGGACTATATCAGTTGAAAAATTTTCCTGATGAACTTAACAACAAAAAAAGGTACTTTATTTAAAGACTGTAATATTCCAACCACAAGTATTCAGGGTCTACAGAAATAAAGAGCTAAATAACTGAAAAGATTTTTAGTGTTCAGGGTCGGGTCAGAATAATGTAGAAAAATATTTTCAAATATTAGAGATTTAAAGTAATACGAATATAGACTTTTTTAAAAAACCAGAATTGGATAACAATAAAAGGAAATTTATAGGAAAAGGAAAGTAAGAAAGAAAACTGAGGAGCACTTGAAGAAAAAAATCTCGTAAGAGCAGATATGCTCACTTGGTAAAACAAATCAATAATGATCACCAGAACTATTTGGTACTCGACAAAAAAACAGAAAAAGAGAAAACTAGACGAATGAAACAAAGAAGAAGTCAAGAATAGACCAAATACAGACAAAAGAATTAGTGTTTGATAAGCCTACGGAAAATAAAAACTAGGGAAAGGATTCATTATTTAATAAATATTGGGGAAATGTGAGATGTCAGAATATAATTTACATTCTCACCTCATACTAACTACAATAGTTTTCTGCTGGATAATACACATAAAAGCCAACTACAAAATATTAGCAAACGTACAAATGATTTCAAGTGTAAATGGGAGATAAATTTTTACCTAATGTTCAAACTGAAGAAATATTAGGGAAAAAAACTAGATAAACTTATCTACATTGAAATTTCTATACAACAGCAACAAGAAGTAACCAAGATAAGAATAAACCAACAGTTTTAGTATCTACAACAAATAGAACAGATAACAGCTAAACACAGACAATATACAAGGATTGATACAAATGCTCATGGGAAACATACTTCTTATAAAAGGATATGAACAATTTACAGAAGAAGATAAATTATAGTCAATAAATGTTCAGCCTCCTTACGTTAAAGCAAAATTTCTGAGATACATACAACAAACATTTTAAGCAACTACTATGTACAGATCACGGGGGCAGGATACAAAATTTAAAGAAGACATCAAAAAGCCTAAAATATAGCAGGGAAATAAAAAGCTAATAGTTATAACATACAATATTTTATAAAAAATACATTAGAAATTTACAAAACCAGTTGCTACATGAGATCTGAAGGCAATAATTATTATTAAAAAATAAATAACAAAAAATTATTATTAAACTTGGGAGGAGAAAGGCTTCACAGAGCAATTGGCATTTGAGTTGAGTTTTAAAAGACAGGTAGCAACTTAATAGTCTAAGAAAGGCAGGGCAAGCATTGCAGATATAGGGAACTGATCGTGGGCATAATGGTATGAGAATGCTTTGTGGATTTGTGTGGCAAGCTGGGGGGCAAACAATCATGGAAATGGGCTGGCATAGAGTGTGAGATGGAGAATATGAGGTGAGGCTAAAAAAAGTAAGGTGGTATCTAACTGTGAAGGATTGTGAATGCCAAGCAGAAGGGTTTGAATTTTATTTGGGAATGAATTCAGATATTTGAAGTAAGCTACATGACGTGAATATATAAGATATTAAGATGTTGTAAATGTAAAAACCATCAACCAGAACAAATAATCAAATATTAAAAAAAACAAAAACATACAACCCTTAGCATTTAACTAACAAGCTAGAAATAAACAAGAAACAATTCAAAATGCTTTTGTTTATATCTCCTTGGTCTGAAAAAAATTTAACAGCACTTTAGTCTGTGTCAATCAACAATTAATAAGCATTACTATGTGCCAAGTACTGTGCAAAGCAGTGGAGAGACAAAGAAAGGCAAAAACAAGAGTCTGTGCCCTCAGAGAGATCATATTCTAAGGAGGAAACAACAGACAAGCAAATTAGGTACACATAAAATATATACAGTGTAAATGGGAAGTAATCTCAGAGGGAAGACACTAACAATGAGGGGACTGGCAGAAGAGAACTTGGAAAAGTCTCCTGCAAAAGGAGAGATTTTGAGCTGAGTCCTCAGGGAAGTCAGGAGATAGAGGGGGAGAAAGGAAACAATTTCAGGTATAGGAAACAGCCAGTGAAAAGGCAGGGTTGAGAGCTGCTGTATCTTGTATGAGGAATGCCAATGTCTTTGGACTGTAAAGTGTAAGAAAAATGGAAGGAAGGAAAAGGCCAGATTGTGAATGATTTTAAAAGCCAAACAAAGAATCTTATATCTAACCCTTGAGATAATATAGGGAGTCCTTGGAGTTTATTGGTCAGACATGTGCCTTAGAAAGATTGCTTTGGCAGATGAGTGGAAGATGGATGGACTGAAGTAGGGAGAGATTTGGGGTAAGGAGCCCAACCAGAAGGCTACTGCAACAATCCAAGCATAAAGTGATATGGGCTTGTACTGGTATGGAAGTTGTATGACTAGAGATAAGAAACATATATGAGAAATGTCGTGAAGGTAGAAAAGACAAGACTTGGCAACATATTGGATATGTGCAATGAGTTCCAGAAAGGAGTCAAGGATGGCACCTAGATGTAAGCTTCGGTGATTGGGAAGATGGTGGTACCCCTTGAAAGTAACAGGAAAGGTGGAAAGAGGGGGTTTGGAGGAAAAAGATAATGAGCTGTGTTTTGGACATGTGGTCTGAGATGTCCAAAAGGCAGTTGATGATGAAAGATGAAGTCTGAGAGAGGGAAAGGATAAACAGATCTGAGAATCATCTGCATAAAAACAATTTAACCCATGATAGCTGAGATCACCAAGTAAGAGAGTACAGTGCAGAGTTTTTTTGTGTCATGGATCCCTTATCTAATGAAGCCTATGGACCTCTTTTCAGAACGTTTTATAATGCATGAAGTAAAATACATAGGATTATGAAGGAAACTAATTATGTTGAAATAATTATCAAAAAAAATTTTTAATTCATGAACTCCCTGAAATCTATCCACAAACTCCTAAGTGGTCCATGGAGCTCAGATTTAGAACCTCTGGTATAAAGGGAGAAAAGAAGAGGGCCTAAGACTCCTGGGGGACAACCATAGTCAGGAGGCATTACTTGAGGAAGAGCAAGCAAAAGGGACTACAGAGTGGATCAGACAAATGGGAGCAGAACCAGGAGAGAGGGAAAAGAATCTAGGAGAAGATGAGCGACTCTCAGTGTTAAAGGCTGTAGAGAGGACAAGAAGGGTCTGTATGCAATTCTGGCTCTGTTGATTTCGCTTTGCATCACTTCATATCATCAAGTGCATGAGGAACAGTAATGTTAGATAAAGCTTTTGAAAATTCCCTGCGCACTTGATATTCAATTATATTAATACATCATAATTTATTTGCTAGTCTCCAATATATGTTATTTCTAATTATTTGGCTCTTAGAAAAGGTTTAAATGTTTTTAAAATGATAATTCTTTCTCTTGCTTTTATGATTACATTTCTGTTCAAGTCCTAGAAAAAGAATCTCAGGATCAAAGGCCAAGACTGGCATTGTGATTTAAAGTACACTGCCACATCGTACTCTGCAACACGGGCGGGTCCCACCACTCACGCTCATGGGTCAGTCCCTTCTGGAACCTAGGTGACAAAGTTGTGCCTGCTACATTTACTGAAAATATATCCCCTCATCTGTCATCATCTCATTTTTCCTATGTTATTTACACTATGCAAAATCCTTCTATCCCTGCATCGGTTCAGTTCCACTTCAATGGATCAAGTGGTGTGGCGGTCACCCTGGGTGCTCAAAGGCCATGACGCCAGAGTAGAAGCTATGAGGCTGTGCCTTGCTGAAAAGGCTTCAGTTGTGGCCTAAGCAAAACACTGTGTTAAAGTTACGGAATTAAAAAAAAAAGAGGGGCAGCTAGGTGGTGCAGTAGAGAGAGCCCTGGAGCCAGGAGGACCTGAGTTCAACCGACCTCAGAACAGACGCTTGACACTTACTAGCTGGGTGACCCTGGGCAAGTCACTTAACCCCAATTGCCTAAAAATTAAAAAAAAGAGAAAGAAATGGAGAGGACGTTGACAATCGCTACAACAATTTTATATCAAATTAACCCAATAAAAATAAAAATAAATAAAATAAAAATAAACTGCCATTAGGAGGAGAGCAAAAGAACTTAAAATGAAACTGTTCCTATCTTTAAGGTAGTTACATTGTTATCCTTTCTAAAAAACCACCTTAGCCAACACTTTATTTACTTGCCAAGCAGAGGCCAGATAAAAGAGAAATACCTGTTTAACACAGAAATTCTTCACACACCTTTTGAACCTACTCAATCAATTCCAATGGCTCTTTATTACCTCCAGCATCAAATATAAATTCTGTTTAAGTTCCTTATAACCCAGTCCCCTCTTATCCTCCATCTCCTTGCACTTGACTTCTATATACTCTATGATTGAGGCAGGCTGACTAGGCCTAATTGCTCTTCCTCACACATGAATGCATTTATCCTGGCTAGTCTCCATGCCTGGAATTCTCTCCCTTTTTGCAATCCCTGACTCCCTTTGACTGAGCTCATTTTCTGCAGGAGCCCTTTCTTGGTTCCTTCTCTAAAATGACTTTCCATTTACTCT